CCCCCCAGCCCCACCGCTCACCCGCTCCGCACGCTGCCGCCACCGGGGGCCACCTCCCGCCGTCGGGCTCCGCTCGGGATGGGGTGGGATGGGATGGGGTGGGATGGGATGAGACGGGGCGTCCCTCGCTGTCCCCCGAGGAGCTGAGATGCTCCCACCAACAGGCGCGAAAGAGAAATCACGGGCTCCAACCTGGGAGCGGCGGTGCCACCGCCTCCTCCTCCTCCTCTTCTTCCTCCTCCTCCTCCTCCTGCCCGGTGCTGGGGTGGGGGGGTTGGGGAGGGGGGAAGATGCGGAGCCTCCCTGCCCGCACCCGCCTCTGGGGCTCCCACCGTCTGAGCGCCTCCGGGGATTCGCTCACATTATAAAAGCACGGCGAGGTCTGGGGTTGGTTTTCTTTTCTCTTTTTTCTATTTTTTTTTTTTTTCCTTAGGGTTAGTAAAAATATGTGTGTGTCTTTCTGGGTGGTTTTTCTTTCTTTCTTTTCTTTCTTTTCTCTTTTCTCGGTGTGTGAGAGGCACTGTGCTGCAGGGGGGGGGGTTATTCTCAGTAGCAGCGGCGCTGGAGAAGATAAATGACTGTACCTGCGCGGCAATCGCTCCTGACATCTCAGCCGACTTTGGGTTTTACTCTGAAAATTTCTGCGAGGATGCAAAATGCAACTCGACAGTGAAAAACGGGCCCCAGCTCTGGTTCACGTGCAGAGCCCAGAGGGTTCATCTCCGGGCACATATACCTGTGGCCACCAACAGCACGATCAAACCGTGGTGTCTTTTTGCATCAAGTTGGGACAAATCCCCCGTGGAGCTTGTTGTGCCCGTGGCCAGCTCCAGCCACGCTGTGCCCAGCTCCCCAGTCTGTGCTGAAGTCCAGATTTGCCTTTCGTCCATGCACAGAGAGAGCCCCAGGTGCTGCTCCTTCAGGCAGAGGGTCACCTTGAGTGGAACGAGGCAATTTGCCCTTAGTGGAAAAGTTATTTTCATTATAAGGATGAGGTATTGTGTGGTGGATAGAGGGCAAACTCAGCTCAGCTGGAGCTCTCTGGGCAGGCTCTGTCCCTCTGGGGTGCTGGGCAGTGGAGGGCTCTGATTCACCCCCACAGCCCCCTACCCGTGGGGCTGGCAGGGCTGTGGTGTGGCTGGGGAGCCACCACGAGGACCATGGTGCTGCCGGAGATGGGGGTAAGGGGTGTGGGCAGCCAGCATGTCCTGGCAGTGGGCAGAGAGCACTCTCCAGCACTTCCCAAAATGTGTTTGCAGAAGTGCAGCCCGCCCTGTGGCCAGCAGGATGGCCTTCCCCCCGGCGGCTATTTACTGGAGACCACTGGTGCTTTCAATTCCCTAGAGGACTTTGTGCTCTTTTTAGTGGTTTTAGGGGGTTTTTTTGTTGCTGGTGGTGATGATCTTGCTTGTTTTCTTTTTTAATCCCCCTCCCAAAAACTCCTGATAAACTAGGAAATTCCCATCGAGGGACATTTCAGGGTGCTGCTGAAAAATGCTAAAGCCAAAAAAAAATGTCATGGTTAAGATTACAGCTAACTAAACCCAAATTTCTCTCCGAGCTAGCAAAGCTCAGCCAATTCTTTAATTGCATAATATTGATAATGTTTTACAACCTCGTGGCATTCAGCTCGGTACTAATCTGTGTAGTTGCGCCCGGTGAGTCATTTGTATAGAAATTACACGCTGAACGATATTGCCATGAATTACTACAAGTTGAGGGTGCCTTACCAAGAGTAATAGTGAAAATTTGCTAACAACCATCTCTTAGTGGAGATATTTCTGTGCCTGGGGGGGTCTGTATCGCATGAAGGGAAAGGTCTGCTCATAAGAGAATAACAGCTGAGTGAATTATTTGCAATATTTTGTAGTAAGATGGGGGTTTTCTGTGTGCTCATCTGTGGGGAGTTAAGCTAATCAAACTTGCGTGGGGCTCAAATGTTTTGGGTCTGCTTCATTGTGATGGTGAAAATACCTGATGGGTGTAACGTTGAAGAAGAACGGTATAGAAATCCTGAGCCCACACCTGCCAAGCAGATCCAGGACCACCCTTTGGTCTCCCCGGTGCGCTGCAGGAAACACAGCCGCGGCTGAAATACTGGTGGCCTTGGAGTGAGGGGTCATGGTGGCACTGACGGTGGGAGAGCGGACACTTTGCTCACAAAAAAGGCTCCTGTCCACCCTCGTCATGCTGTCTCAGACCAGAGTTTTATCTCCACAGATTAACACCATCAAGGGAATAAATCTGGGGTGAAGCCGGGCAAAACACCGTCGCCTTCCAGCCATGACGTGCCCGTGACACCTCGTGCCGGTCCCTGCCACCAGCTCGTGGTGACAGTGATGGCAGACGGGGCATTTTGCCATGCAAATTCACTCCTGGGACTTTTCTCCGCGCGGTCAAACATCCCCCCATAGGAGCCCTCTCGTCCCTCGGGGTCTGCGCTTGGGCAGGGGCTGCAGGCAGAGCTGGAGACCCCAGGAGGGGAATTCCATGCGGATAACCCGGCAGCGCCGGCCCAGCCCCAACACCCACCACCGACACGAACCCTGGGGACGGGGGGACTTCTCATGGCAGCCCGTGGGAGCAGGAAGATGTCGTTGTGCCAAAGAGGGGCCTAAATGAAGGGGAGGTGGGGAGGGTTGTCTCAGCCCCTGAGCAGAGGGTGAGGTCCGTCTCAAGGGGCAAGCACAGAGGGGTCCTGGAGAGCTGTAGGAGGGAGATGCCCCAGGTGCCATAGAATCAATCACATGGGGTTGGAAGGGAGCTCTGGAGATCATCTAGTCCAACTCCCCCGCCAAAGCGGGTCCACCTAGAGCATCACCAGCCTCAGGAACAGGCTGAGGAGCCCAAAGGTCCAGGCGACCACCACGTGCTGGGACTCGGGAATGAGGAGGAGGGAAGACAATGCTCGCTGCCCGATTTTATTTTTCGTTTTGCAATGCAGAAGAAAGGAAGTGGGTTCTTCTTTTGTGCAAAACATGCTCCTGCCCTGCATGCAGCAGGTGCTGTGCTACAGGAGTGCAACCCAGCTCCACCCGTTTGCACAGCCCCGGTGGCCCCACCAAGCCCAGCGATGCTGCACCGCACGACAGGCAACGGGCCCTTTCAGGTGGGGGGTGCGAGGCTGGGGGGACCCCCTTCCCAGCTGGTGGGACCCCATTGCCTCCTTCTGCAGTGTTGGGTTAGCTGAAAAGGGGCGTCCCCACCACCAGGCAGCGCAGGGAAGCCCTGTCCACCCCGGTTTGCGGCCACTTCATTTAAGAAATATTGCCCTTTACTGAACCCAGCGTGATGTGGGTTCTGGGGTGTGAGGCTCGGCTTCAAAACTGGGTCCAGGTTTTCTTCTGGCCTGTCCGTGTTTGCACAAAGCCCATTTCCCTTGGTCCTGGTAAGGAGGAAGCCAAGGGTCCCACAGCCCATGTACACGTCCCAGGGCAAGTGGGATCAGCTCTCCCAGGATGTCCCTGATGCTGGAGACCTGGCCGGGGCACTGGGGACACCTCCCAGGGGAATCCTGGGCAAACACTCAGCGGTGAGGGTCTCTTTCCTGACACGTGCATCATGGATGTTGACCACCATGGACATCCAGGCGGGTCCCTGCTATGTTTCTTGCCTGGGGATCAGTGCCTCCCTTCCCAGAGCCAGCTGTTGGGGATTTTGGGGTAGACATGTGCCTCTGAGTCACTGTGGCTTTCTCTCACATCCTCCTCACTGTCTGCCCTCCTCTGAAGGCTCTCTGCAGACCCCTCTCCCTCCTGGAGGCCTTTGCATGGACTTTTCATCCCAGCCCAGCAGAGAAACCAGCCCACAGTTCCTCCGGGGTCAAGTCCTTCAGGCCATCAGCTGTAAGCCTGGCCACCACAGTGGATGCGATGGGTGAGGAAAGCTTGAAAGGAGCCACCAGAGCCACCCTAGGCAGGTGCTGGGAGAGCTGGCACCGGGCTCGCTCCAGAGCTTCATCTTCGGGTGCAAAGCCAGACTCTGGGGTGCTGAGGCTGTTGTTTACACCTGGTGGGGTTTCCCAGAGTCGAGAGATGATTTGGAGCTGGACTTTCTGAAGGCAAGGCAGCATAACAAATGAGGTAACAGCCCCTTGGTGGAGAGAGGGCAGGAAGCTTGCGCCTCCTCTTTCCATTGTATCATCATCTCTCCCTCTTTCCTTTCCCCCTCGACTTTTGTTACCTTTTCTGTCTTCTAGTGCAAAACATTTTCAGGAAGCTCTGGGTTTAGACACTAAACTCTCAAATCCAGGTGCTTTCCGTTTCAGTGCAAGAGGTTGGGATTTTCCACAGCTCAGCCCCTGGATCTCAGGCCACCACTAGTTGTCTGGTAGTGGAGCAGAAATGAAGAGAACATCTGATTTTAGCATCCACCTGTCCATTCAATAGCAGCAGCTACGCGGGGAGGACAACACTGGAGGGACTTTAACTCAAGATGACGGGAACTGTAGAGAAAGCAAAATCTGTACCGAGATTCCTACCACTTTGTGGCAAAAATCTCAAGAAAATAATTACTGGGGTTTTGGTACGCTTGAAACCTAATCTGCCACTGAATCTGAGTGGGAAACACTGAATAACGAAGCAGTTGAGATCTGCTCCTGCGTGACATGACCTGATTTACTCTGCATGTGCAGCACCAGCTCTAGAAATGATGGTGCAGCACCAAGTTTAGGAGACAGCCAGAGAGTGGCACAGCTCGTTCTGGCATCCCCAGTGGTGGGACACAACGTGGCCGCTCCAGGAGCTGCTTCCTTCCACGTCCCCTCATCTTCAGTCCCAAAACGTGGGCACGAAGCCTCACGTGTGGGCCAAGTAACCGCCACGTGCCCATGGTTTCACTGGGCCCAGCTGCAGGGAGAGGGCAGGTACACAAACAGGGGCAACTCTTAGTCATGTAGGTCTGGGCACCTTGGTAGGAGAAACGCTGTTGAAGTTCACATAATGAAGTAACTTCCTCCAGCGAGCATGAAAGGCCCTTGTTCCCACGCCGCGCGGTGACTGAGAAGCTCCATTTTGATTTTGCAGGAATAAGATGAAAGTTTTCTTGGTATCTGATCTCTGTGGTTAAAAACAATGTTTAAACACTTGTTAAAAAAAAACACAATCATGAGGCAAGTTTG